ATGAGAAAATTGTTGCCCGGTCACGAAGCTTGCAAATGTAATACAAGCAGGTTCCTCATAAATTGTTTTTAATTATTAAATATGAATAGACAGTACACACGTTTTTTTTTTTTTTTTTTGAGAAATTGTTGAAATTTATCAAGAGTGACAGACAGTCTCCTCTTAAAATCGTTTTTCGTATGAAATTATTTATCATTGAGTTTAAATTTAATACATACAATTCCTAATCAATAACGATATAGATAGGTATACAGGGGGTACCTAAATTATACAGCAGAAAAGTTCCCTTTTTAGTATATTTTCTTTGATGTACCTATGGTGAAAACATTCTTTTTCTTCGGTCAAAAAGCTTGAAAATCAATACAAAATTCCTCATGAGTATTTTACATCATCTACAATCTCTTAGATACTTATTAAATAGCGTCTTTAAATCGGAGAAAAATAAATTTGTTTCAATGAATATATTACACAGTTGTATTGGGTGATAATTAACAGAATATGTTTTAAATTATTAAAAAGTTTCTTTCGCTGGTATAGTGACTTACGATATTGTCCTATAGTTTTTTGTACACTATTAAAATATCATGTATGAATACATTTTTACAGATTAAGACTATATTGGCGTTAGTCGTGAATCATAATAATAAATTATAATGAGGAGAGTATCTATCACCATTCACCAGGACACTGAGAACACTCTTAATAATTCTTAAAATAATATAATTATAATTATAGTTATCTACTAATAACAATTATTTTTTTAACTGCTACACATTAATAAACATAATATTTAACGGACATATTGTAATATATGTCGACCGTCATTCGGAAACGTTTTAGCAAATAGGTACGGCTTTTGTTTCGTTTATTTTATGCTATGGCAAATTACGATAAATCGTCCTTCGATTGCGGCCATAATATTAAGTATTAAAAATAAAATAAAATATAGTCAGCGTGTCCGAACACCATAATAATATAATCTATACTAATATTATAAAGCTGAAGAGTTTGTTTGTTTGTTTGAAAGCGCTAATCTCAGGAACTACTGATTCGAATTGAAAAATTATTTTTGTGTTGGATAGTCCATTTGTCGAGGAAGGCTATAGGTTATATAATATTACGCTACGACCAATTTAATAGAAGTGCTTTAACAGGGATTTTGAGATTTACAATGGAAATATTTGTTTGTAAATGGTTGCTATTGGTTATAGGAGAAATAATTAATAGAAATAGTATTTATTTATTGTTGGTTGCAATTGGTTAATCGGGCAGATCGGGTACAAACATGCATTAAATCGAATTTTCGCACATTGCCTACCAGGGTGGCTGAGTTGCACTTACTGCAGTGAGTTACACCAAAAAGGAGTTGAACATTCACAATTTTTTTTGTCATTTTCTTTCTGGCTTATTACGAACTATATTATACATAAATGAATGTTTGTGTGCAGATATCTGGGAAGAAGGTGGGCTAGGTAATTAAAAAAAAAAGGTTAAATTTGTTTTTTTTTATTCATCGGATTTTAGTACGGTTAGATTAGGATTATGTATTAATTGATTATATTAACCCACCGTATTATATCGAAATAAACTTGGTATACATTTGATACTTTAGAGTTAAATCATACACTTACGTACAAACAGCACTGGGTCCGAGATCTACATCAAGTAGATTGCCTACCTGATAATATACTGCTGAGGATCAGAATTTTTATTCTAGGCAAGTAGGCAACAGAAAAGTTAAGATACATTTTGAATACTATACACCGAATATTAAATAACGAATTGAACAAAGTTTGAGTCATATAGAGTTGGGACATTTAACGGGCAACGAAGTGCACAGGATAAGCTAGTATATATATATATATATTATTATATTTATTATATTATAATTAATCAGTATCCATCTATATAGTATAATATTATATTGAAATTCATTACGGCTTTGCAAGTGCCACAAAATACGTGCACAGTGCACACTACGTCACATGTACCTGTACATATATTTAAGGTACAATATGTACATATTATGATCTTATTCTTTATTATACCGATGACCATGACATCCAGTCACCGGTTGTAGTTTAAGTGTTCAACTTTAAAAATACAGTTCTTAAAATAATTTATTACAAAAAACAGTTTTGTTGTAATAGTGTGGCGGTCGCATAATGGATTTAATGAGAAGTGAACGAAACAAGACAATTTTTATAGTTGACGGACATATATTCCGATTCCATATGATCCTTAAAAACGATGAACTTGCTACTTAAATTATTGTAAGTGTTATTTGAAATTGAACGATCATAATTCTATTATTTTTAATCCTGATAACCAAAATCACCAAAAACCACATGAAGAAACGTTGAGTAGACAACAAATGTTTGCGAATTTTTTCATTCAAGAGTAAACGGAATGTGAATATGAAAATAAAAATATTTCACGATTTGGATTCGTTAAGAACATATCAAATAAATTTTTACCATGTACATAATAACAAAAGTAATAAAAAAAAAAAATTGATTTTAATTTGTATATTAGGTATATACATAATTAGTTGTGATTTTTATGTACAACGTTGTAAATTATAATAGATATTAAAAAAAAAAGCACATTTTTAACCACGCCTGTTAACACGGACAGTAATAAGCCTGCAAAAGTGAGAAGGAAAATGTAATTATAATCAGGGATTCAGTTTACCTTATACCTTTTCAAATCCGGGACTCAGTTTACCTATACCCTTTTAAGACCCCGGACTCAATTTACCACAAAAAATGTATTTTGGACTCAATGTACCTAGCCCCCAATAAATACAATTTTTCAATTTCAACTCAACCTAATACGGGAATAACAGTTGCTTTTTTTCGTTTTCCACTGTAAAGAAGTTTTATTTCGGACCAGCCTTTAAATATTAACAAAATATAACCACGAGAAAATAAAGCAATACCTAACTAATAATTAATAATCACTCCTTTCAGCACACCTTTCAGCACACCGATAAAAAAAAATTGTGATGATGGCAGTTGCAGTTTATACCTTATTATATTATTATTATTATTATTATTATTATTATTATTATTATTATTATTTCGTTATTACAGTGTTACGTCTTACAGCGTAAATATAGGTATATCTACGTAAAAAAAAAAATGTTTTGTTAGTAGCGTATTAAAACTCGTAAATTATTAATAATTTGTAAAAAATCTTTTGCAGACGGTTTAATATAATTCTGTTTAAGATTTCAAAAAATGTTTATCTAAGTGTTGTAAAAAAAATGTATTAATTTTATATTTCACTTGTAAAATACATTAGACTTGCACTGTTTTGAAGTAAAAATAACTGACAGCAAAAAAAAACAAATGCCCGTGTTGGAGATGGTATTTGTGACAAAGGAAAATTCGGTGTCAAGTGAAAACGTCTACTGATGTTTTTGCAAACAACTAAACATAGTTATTTTTTTTCGAAGAATCTTAACCGTGTCAGTTTAAAAAAAAAATATGTCCATGCAAATATATTCGGAAAATGTTATCTTTTGTAAAGTGAATTTCAAAAAATTTTGTTGAGTGGACTGAAACCCAAATAATAACTAGAATTTTCCTCAGATTTTGTTATTTTTTTTTTTTGACTGTTAGCAATGAAATGTTTCGGACCATAATACTTAATATTGTGCAATACAAAATTACAAATGTACTCCACTCGGTTATAAAGATCATTTAACGACACATCGCAATAACGTCCAAATACAGAATAATTTTCCACGTATTATATTAATATAAATTATGAGAGCTGGACCTTCAGCAATAATTGAATCGGTTGGCAGCATTATTTCCGTGAATTAAAACAGATAGCGGTGAAACATGAGTACCATTTCCTCGGAAATTTGAACATTATAACACTGTATAAACATGACAATTTTTAAAAGCTCAAATATTCTATCTCTAACATTTCTAACAATAATAACTTTAATAATATTCATAATTCATGTTATAATAATTAAAGAAACAATCACACAGCAGTATACTTATTAAATAAACACGAACCATAATCATCTATTTATAGGTTATTAAAAATGGTAGGCTTATTTTTTATTGAATATTTAACGACGCATGGTGGTAATTGATAACTATTAACTTACTAATACCTATAATAATGGAGAGTAGATAACTGTTGTTTTTTATCAACATGCAGAGTAAAATCGGAATATAAATCTATTGGGCGTATTATGAGTATTATAAGTACCTACATAATAATATCACAGATTATATTATATTATGTTTTATATAATCTGTGATAATATGAAGAACCGTATAATATGCACTATAACTAGGGACAGAGGTCGAAGACAAACTACCATCAACTAATGACTGTAACTATAGGTACAATAATATAGTATACAAAATATATACAATACGGCATAATCAAAAAGGCAATACACCACATCCCACGGGTCACTATAATATTATAATTAATGTTCGATGAGCTTGATTTTAAACTTCCTAATTTCCTGCCTGGATAAAGATATAATAATATAATTTCATTTAAGAGACGATAACTGACGTAGTAGCTTATGTTATAGAATTGTATAGGTGTTATATTTTATACCTGTGGAGTATGGACTGATATACCTCAGGTTTGTTTCAACGCTATTATTGAATTATTAGTACACGGTATACGTATCCGTCAGAAAAGATCAAAAAACTGGTAGACACTATAAAAATGCAAGGTTAATTAAATGAATACGAATTAAAATATAATGTGTATAATAATAATAGTATGTTTAAAGTATGTGTCCCGTGAGTATTAATGCAAATTGGTGGTGGGGGAGAGGTAATAATGGTAATATTGTAATACCTATTCATTACTAGTGTTGTACCATTTCAAAACAATAATATTTATAGTAATATATACGAAGTGATCTTAAAGTCTGTTTTTTTAATGTTTACAGTGTGACCAACTACTTTTTAGTGAACTTGTCCATCGCCGATCTTCTAGTGACATTCATATGCATGCCAATGGCCGTTGGACAGTCGGTGACCGGTTTATGGCTGTACGGCGAGACTATGTGCAAATTGACATCGTATTTACAAGGTATAATAATATTATAACTCTGGTCTATCGATATCTTGTAACATTCGTATACGCTGTAGTTTCTCAAAAATTTAATGCAAAATGTATTTTTGCAACAAAATATCAATAAAAAATTAAGAACCAAGTGTTTAAGTAAAAAAACAAAAATAATATTATGTGCAGTAGAACTGCAGGTGTACAGTCCTTGTAAGCGAGGGGATGTGTTTGCGTTTTGTTATTCTCTATACATATAGTTATAAATTAAAATAGTTTATAAGAATTTAAAAATTATACTACATAATATGTGTAACAATGCTGACACAAGTAGATACGTGAACTATTGTAAAAACCATAAGTTCTCATAGTACGTGGTTTGGAGGTTAGGTTGGACACACAATGAATAACGTCATAATATAACTTATTTCTATGGAAGCAAAGCATGTCAGTGGATTAATAAATTTATTTTCTTTTCTTAAAATTCTTTGTTATGTCATCTTTTTCAATTGTAACAATAAGCTTAAGGGGCGATATCAAGGGAGTATTACAGTCCCTGACGCTGCAACAGTGGCAGCATCGTTGGACATCATCACTCACGAAATTAAATGTTATCAAACCTTCCATCAACCCTTGGCCAACACTCACCACCAAGAGACGTCATGAAGTCATAGTCAACCGACTTAGAATCGGCCATACGTGGCTTACACATAACTTCCTCATGAGACATGAAGATCCAACCCAATGCACAACCTGCGGGGAAATCATCACCGTCGAACACGTTCTTCTTCACTGCCGGAAATACGCGGATACCAAAACCTCTCTAAATATCCCGGACCACCTCTACGAAATACTCGGACCCGACCTCAAAAACTTCAATAACACCCTAATGTTTTTACAGCAAACAAAACTGTACAACCTTATTTAATTACATTGTTCTTTTTTTTTCTATTCTATTATTTATCACTATTTTGTACACCCTTAAACTTAGGATTAGTAATAACCATAATTTTTTATATCCAAAAATGTAAAAATGTAAATACCGTAAGCCAATAACCTTTGTTGTTGAGGCTTTAAATAAACAAAAAAAAAAAAAAAAAAAAAAATAAGCTTAAGTGATAAAAATAATAAATAATGACATAGGAAAAATAGACCTAGAAGAGGTCTACCAGCGGTAGTATTTAAACGTGAATATATTAATTAATAAAATAATGATATTAATTAAATTATAATAGTAATACAATAAATAAATAGTAATCATAAAGTAATAATGATGGTTATAAATGAAACTTGAAAGCGATATTTTTTTTATATATACATTAGATAAGCAGGTCACGTGACACCGCTGACTTTTTAGCCTTTTTTTGAGAAGAGTTGCAAATGATAGTTGGGTTAGGTTAGGTTAGGTTGAGATAGTGAGTTGGCCTCGTCGTTTCGTTGACTTGCAAAACGTTTCAAAACGTTTTAATTCCTTATTTGATACAATAAGTAATTGAATATTAATATTATATTATTATAGGTCTATATAGACTTATAGAAATGAATGAAACATTTGTCATTTTTACATTTGTCCCGAGGACTGGGAGGCGTGGAAGTGCAAAACGGATTAAGAGTGATAGAGTTGTATCATAATAGTGAGAGAAGTGGCACTGTTCCGAGGACAGGCAATACGTATACCTCTAATAAAGCCCGATCCTCGTAACAAGCTCCACCATTGCACTCGTCATCATACCTAGTGTTTTTTCTATTTCTATAAGTCTATGTATAGGTCATACATAAGTATAATATTAATTTTGAGAAATAAAATTATTTACTATTAAAATAATCAACAAATATCAGTGAATTGACTACATTTCAATGATTTCAATGAATTACAACATTCAATGAATGTTGTAAATAATTAATATGATGTACCATGCTTAAATATTCTGTTTATTTTCACATGAATATTATGTATTATACACAAGAGGATATCAATTATATTGTGACAATTAATTACTTGCTTCCTAAATGGTGGTGTTTATCCGATGTTTATTTGTATATTACAGTTATAATATTATAATGTTACCTAAATAGTCTTTTGGCTGGATAACCATTATAATATACTTAATGCTATACGTTTTAAGTTCAATTTTCATTGTTATAATATTATCTATATTTTATATTTTATTCATTTTCTTTTAGTGAATTATTTTGATTATAAACATTCACAAGTCACTTATACATAAACCTATCTATTTACTGATTATATTACAATTTATTACTTTATGTATTACAATATAATACTATTATGTATTATTTAATGTGACTGTAATAATTATAAAAATGGTCATAAACTGTAGACATACATCTATACCTTACTTGTGATTGGGCATGTAGGTATACATAGTTTTTAAATATAATATTGTAAAATTGTTACAGAAGTATCAGAGATTCACGACTATTGTAATTTTGTAATTGATGGTATGCTTGGTTTGCCTGCAAAGTGCACAACATAGAATAAAACAATTTTAATGTTTAATCTCATATTTCTTAAAACACCAGGATAAAGACAATTTTTAACACAGAAAATAAAATATGATTAAACGAAATACGCATATAAATCTTTAGAAAATTACTAAGACAAATTGAAAACAAAACATTTCTTTAGCTTTAACAAAATAAATTGTTCAATCAATAAAAGAAACTATACAAAACTTTTATAACGGAACAAATCCTTCTGTTTTTAACTCTTTGGTTAGAAAAAAACAATAGTAGACAAAATTCTAAACAATACACTCATCAGTCCCAAACCAATTAATTTCACTCAGAATCTAATGATATAACGAAAATTAATAATTTAAACTATATTTTACGTTTGTCGTTTACTTATTTTAATAGACAGAACGAGGTACAACATTATATGATTAAAATACTGCTATCTAGTATCTGAATATGTAAAAAAAAAACACTTTTTTGGCAACAGTATCTTTTCTGATAGGAAAGTGAATCTAGTTGTTTTTCCAGTAGTTTTCAAAAGCGCCGTGAAAAACAAAAGAAAAATTAAGGAAAAACGGGAATTTTTACGCAAAATCGATTTTTTACTAAATCGATTTTGGTTTAGATTTTAACTCTAAAACAAATGACAGTAGATACATGAAATTTTTACTGAATGTTTATATTAGAATTTTCTATACACCATGACTTTTTTTTAAATATTTTGACTTATTTTGAGCTGTTTAGGGACATTTTCAGTTTCCAATTTTTTTAGTTTTGTATTCTATAAATATCAATAAAATTTTATTTGTTGGGTACAAAAGCTTGAAAATGTAATACAAGGCTCCTAATATATTGTTTCAAAGACGGATGAAAAATATTAAAAAAATTCTTAGTCACAGTTTTTTGTTATAAGCATTTAAAGTTCAAATATTGACAAAATACGTAAAATTCACGAAAATGTGCAAATTATTAAAATTCATAAATATTTTTATTTTTAAAACTAAGATTTGAAAATGTAATACAAGATTCCTCAGAAGGTTGTCAAAAAAAAATTTTATGAGAGTTTTAAATTCATATTTTTACAACATTTGATATTCATTTCTTATATAATGATTTTCTTATTTTGTTGTAATTAAAAAACGAATGACTGTAGAGTGTAGATACTTGAAAATTTCACTAAATGTTTATCCTCTTCATGCACGAATTTTTAGATTTTCATATTTTGCGTATTATCAATACAGTAGGTTATCACACATGTGACTAAAAATTCTCATATAGTCTGAACATAGGAACGAATATTATGAGACGGTTGTTATCAAGTGTATCATATGATACCTTTATGCACAAATGGATCAAAAATATTTAACAGCTAAAATTAAATTAGTTGCGGTATCATATGATACCTACATGCACGAAGAGGTTATATTAGCATTTTCATCCAATTTTGAAAATAATTTGACTCTTTTTGAGCTGTTTACAGACATTGTCAGTTTTCAATTTTTTTAGTTTTTTTTTTTCAATAAATACCAATAAAAATTTAATTTGTTGGATAAAAAAGCGTGAAAATTTAATGCAATGCTCCTGATATATCGTTACAATAGCAGTTGAAAAATATTAAAAATACATAGCCACAAATTATTTTTATAAGCATTTAAGGTTCCAATTTTGACAAAATTTATCAAATTATCAATTTAATTCAATTTTATCAAATTAATTTATCAAGTACATAATAATTATTTTGTAGTTAATAATTTATAAAATTATCAACTTTTATAGCTATGGATTGAAAATTTAATACCAGATTCCATTAAAAGCATATAGTATGCAAATTACTTTATTCACAATAATATCATCAAATATACTTGGTAATATCATAGGCTGACTCACCGTTTTCGCTCGGAATCGTTTTTCTTATATATTGAATTCAAATTTAAGACCATTCATTACAGTGACCCACTTGTAACCTACTTAGCAGTAGAGCGACATCCACTTGACCACTTTTTTGTTTTTATTTTTTAATTTTTAACAACATTCATGCAATGAAAATTAGCAATAACATGCAATACAATCAAATAATTGTCTTAATGGCTTATGCCAATGATTTAAAATAAAATCACACTTAAAATAATGGTTTTTGAGTACTTTGTCACTGTCAACCGTAATCTAGTAATAAACAAATAACTATTTCCAATTAAAGTTTGAAACTTGCAAAACAAAAAGGTGGGAAAAACATTTTACCATCTTACTATTTTTTTCTACCAGAGGCTAGAGGGATTAGTAAAAGTCCACAAGTAACTTTAGCGAGATGAAATAGATTAATACAATAGAAAAACAAATAACTTTTAAGTATTACCATTAAAAGGATTTCCGTTCTAAAAAACACGCATTACATAAAAGTAGTATTCGATACAATCTTAAATTTTTTAATCGTTATGTGATTTAAAATATTAGAATATAACTTTCAAACATTCTTTTTTATACATATATTGTGGTTTTATACATTTTAAGCCTAAATCGTCAACTACCTACCAAAAAATACTTACGATACTGTAAAATTCCCCTGAAAATAATTTGTTTGTATCACTATGTTACTCAATTTATTAATTACTGGCGCCCTAATAACAGATAGAAGATTTTACATTCGTGTATAATTTCTACATGGGGAAATTATAATTAAATTACATTTGAACCAATTAATATGCTAATGTAAAATAAAATAACAAAACATGAACGCGGATTGCAGTACCACTGTACCAGTATTATATGAGTAGGGAGTAGGCACTAGGATAAAGCTTTCAAAACGCAAGGATTATATTCACTATAGAGGAAAAAACCGTAGAAATGAACTGCGTAGTATTTAAAATGTTGTTGAAAAACGATAAATTATTAGGTTGGTAAAAAAACTGTTTCCCTATCCAACATTTTATTGATGCACGAATATTTTAAACAATGAGCTTTTAATAAATTCTATAGAAATAAATTTCTGATAACAATGAATTGTTTCTATAATTTAACATTGAGAAAAATATTATGATAGTCCTCCAAGTGTGGTCATATTGATAGGTAATCATTATTCATTACCTATTCCCAAAATAATAATAATATTTCGCATCCCACAATACCACTAAAAAAAAATATACAATTTACCTAAATAATGTTAAAATAGAAATGCACCTGTCCAAATACCACAATAACGATTGTGGCTCATTGAACTAATCATCCAATTTGATTTGATTATTTCCTAATTATTAGAAATTTATTAAAAATTAAAACATACAATTAATTACTCATCTATTTCATGTACAGTTTTTGAAATATAGTAATATTATTTGTAGTATCACAAGTTGTAACAACTAAAAAAATGTATGTAATAATCATATAAAGTAGATGTGAATGTCAAGACATCACACAAACATATATGTCATAAGAGATTTTTTTAAATTTCGGTTTTTTAAAAGTTATTTTATTTTATTTATAGGTGTTTCAGTTGGAGCAAGCGTTTTTACTATAGCTGCAATGAGTATAGATAGATATTTGGCTATCGAACATTCGATGTCATTCAGAAAAGTACTCAATCGAAAATCAACCATATATGTAAGTTGAATATAACGTTATGAAAGAATAATAATCATTTTTATTGTTTTAAAAATATTACATTGATTAAAAGAATATACAAATAATAAAATTGAGCTAAAAAAATTGCTTGAGTTAGAATTTAGAACTGAGACTTTAGAAAACACAATAATTATATAACATGACTAAAGGCTAAAATACACTTTTAATGATAGAATATAGTAAATTATACTGCAAATTATACTGCGTGGTATATACCTACCCAATATATTTATGCATATAATAGGTACGCAATAATATGATTTACACGACGTTGAACATATATTACATATATAATATATATATATTATACTGTGTGTATCATTGTATCCATAGGTATATATAGGAGCTTCGACGGGTTTAATGAGCGGTCCGACGCTTGTATATCATATAGATAATGGTATATAATATTTTTAGGTACACATTGTGCATAAATATAAATAGAATGATGAGGAGACGTTACACCTATATTATATGTAATCAAATATTTGAGCTAAAAATAAATGTCTATTAAAATTATTGTAAAACGTAAAGTATAGACGGAAAGCAAGAATTTAAATAATTTGACATTTTCAAAAATATTCAAGCATTATTACAAGTTCAGGTTTTCAAAAATGATGTGTTTATTAAATGTGCCCGGTCAGATACGTGACTTTTTATTATTTATAGTAATTGTAGCTTACGAAACTCTATTTTTTGAATTTACGTTAATTACGCTTATAAAACAATGCAATTAATATTCTCAAGTTTAACAGTATATGTTACGTCAAATAAACATTTTAAATATTAACGCTCAAGTATTGAAGTTTGTTGATCTAACAAAGTAATGTACATATATTGCCTATACATTACGCCGTACAATAAGAATGTGGTACAAACTTACTATAATATTAATGTATAATATTATTTTACCACGCATAGAGACCAGCTATTGGAAATCACCTGTTATCGCTCATCTCAGATAACCTTGCTCAGAACTGGTCGTTAATTTACATTAACTATAAAATTATCCTATCGATTTTTATAAACAAATACTTCATCAAGTGTATTAAATTTTAATACATTTCAAACAAAATTATTTTAAATAAAACAAATAAATATAATAATAATAAAATAATCCACTCGAAAAAATGTTTTGAACTTTCAAGTGGTATTGAATGAGTATTATAGTGACTAAAAAATATATACTCCTACATAAATATCATTAACATTCACATACAATATTATGACACACATACAACGTTAAAATTGTACATTTATTATACTGAAAGTTGTGGCACAGAGTTGCAGATTTATTCAAGCTTTGTACAAATAAAACTATACAATGTAAGCACTTCAGAAATCATAATTACACATTTGAACATTTGGCTATAAATTTGTTTTACTACGACTATTCAAACAAATTTGTTCAAAACCCGAAATTATACAATATTATATTCTTGAAGTACACTTCCTGTGACTTTTAACAAACCATTGTTGTATGTGAGCAGAGCTACAAAAAATCGGGTGTGCAGTGCGCACACGGGTCCTAAGCATTACATACATTTAGGGGGCCCCGTGCCCAGCCTGGAGCAAACACTAGAAAAGCCAAACTAAATAACTCACAATAAAATTTGTTTTTTTATTTAAGCTATGTTTTTTTTTTAAGTTGGGAACATGGGTGTAGTAGGTTTACTAATATTAGATATTATTTGCATTTAAATAGCATGGTAGGTACTAGGTACTAGGTAGAATCATGTATATTATACTATGTTAGAAACTGGTGGGCATCAGCGATTCGAAATTCGAAGTACAATCAATTTGTCCATAAGTTTTATTTTTGAGTTGACACTCTATTTTTTTCCCATCCAAGTGTCATTGTTTGTCGTCTTGTCGAAAGAACAACAACTGGCCGATACCAACGACGGTCGACGACGCTCCATGAAAGTAATATTATAAAGTAATATCTCATCCACGAATAATAATATGGGATCGTCGGATTTTTAATACTGTTTAATATTATAAATGCAATGACAAACGAACTTTTATTTGAGTCAACATAATATGATTTTATAGAAAAGTACCGTGATGATATTAGTATTGTCTTCACGCATAATTCAATGAGTTTAAGAGATTTTTTGTTTCAAAAATTAGTGACCTTATAAAAATGAACATAAAATATCTATCATTATTTTTTCTAATATATTTACAGCTACAATGATATTTATTACTATGTAAGTCTGCTTCTGCTGAAAGTTCGTTTTCAAAACTAAAATTAATAAAAATTATCTACGTTATATCATGTCACAGGATAAATAGTCAAGCTCGGCTATATTAAAGATTGAAAGGCTCCAAACTGCTGAAATATATATAGACAATATAATAAATATATTTGCATATGCAAAAGCCAGAAAAATTAATTGTTTATATTAAAACTTAGATGTTGTAAGATTTTGTATGATTTTGTAATTTTTATTTTATAAAAAGTAACACCTAGGTACTTAAAAATTATCTACTATCTAATATTTAATTTTGTTGAAAAAAATTGTGTAATTTTAATAATTATTATAGTATCTTAAAATGAAAAAAGACATTTTTTAAATTCAAACAAGGTTGTTAATATAATATAAAGGTTGTTATAATAATATAACTATATCGAAGTGATAAAATATTTATTTAAACAATGAGTCTATTGAGTATTTGAATTTTGAGTAGGTTACAATATCAACTACATATTTGCGTAGGTACTTCATAAATATGTAATGTTGTATAATATACAACAGTTATAGGTTTATATTTATATATATATATATATATATACGCACAAACTGAAGTAAAACGGGTTTTAAAACCTAAAAATGTTGGTGCTTAAAGATTGTAAGACTTGCAACAAAAATTAATCTAGGAAGAGGCCCAACATAATTACCACCCATGGGCCCCATATACTGTAGTTGCAGCACTCTATATTAGAATATAAATGTACCTATAGATTTTATTTCTTTAGAACCGGGGAACTCTCTTTTGCTTTATAATGGTTTCAACTTTTCAAAAATATTTCATAATTTTAATTGACGAGTTAAATTTTAAAACAAAATAGTTATTTTATATGATTATTAATATTTTCTTGATTTGGTTGGTTAAACTAAGTCTCGCTAAAAATAACACATAACTAATTCAATGCACGGAATAATGGTATGAACTTTATCGGATTGTTTACCTCTAGATAATAATAATTTATATTTTACATGACAAAAAGTATCAGTGGTTGATATTGTTTTGAATTAAAACAAAATAACTAAAATCATTTGAGCGATAATCGCCATTTTACGATTGAATATTAAACGTTGTCAAAATTTGAAGACTTAATAAAAAAAAAGGTGGGCAAGTGGGTGTCGCTCTGCTGTACAGTAGGTTACAAGTGGGTCACTGTATAATGGATGGTATTAAATTTGAATTCAATGATATAATATCATTGTATAAGAAAAACGATTCTGAGCGGTGACGGTATGTCAGTCTATGTATCAGACATATTATATACATATTTATGGTATTAAACAAAAAATTGACCTATAATAGGTACCTATAATAAATTCCAAATTAATCATATCACAATATCCATTAGATACTTATAACGCGTTATACATCAACAAAAACCGCGATACTATCATAGATATATAATAGTACACTTTAGAAGTTTCAAGTACCCACGAATAATATTATTCAATCACAAACAAATTACTAAAATAGTTATTTTAGGTTTTCTAATATGTAATTTCGTCCAAATTTGAATTTAAAATGTCTGTAAAAAATAAGTGTGTTCATATATTTAGATTTTTTGGTTATAGTATGAACTGTTTATGAGAACCTTTGTGTTGAATTTGTAATCCTTAGCTATAAAAACTGAACATTTTATAATTTATTAATTACAACGATTGATAATTTTCGAGATTTTGATAAATTTTGTCAAAATTTGATCTTTAAATGGATATAAAAAAAAACTGTGACTATGTATTTTTAATATTTTTCAACTGCTATTGTAACAATATATCAGGTGCCTTGTATTAAATTTTTACACTTTTTGGCCCAACAGATAAAACTTTATTGATATTTATAGAAAAAAAAACTAAAAAAATTGAAAGCTGTAAATGTCCATAAACAGCTCAAAAAGAGTCAAAATATTTTCAAAATTGTATGGTGTATAGAAAATGCTAATTTAAACATTCAGTGAAATTTTCATGTATCTACAGTTGTTCGTTTTTGAATTGCAACAAAATAAGGAAATCGCTACATGAGTAATCGAGTGAAAATCCAATGTTGTAAAAATTTGAATTTTAAACGCTCATAAAATTTTAATTTGACTGTCCGGTAGAGATTTTTTATTGATAAAGGTAGATAATCTTATAAGGAATCTTGTGTTTCATTTTCAAATCTTAGATTTAAAAAGAAAAATTTTTACGAATTCTTAACTCAAAATAATTTGCTAATTTTCGTGATTTTTCCATATTTTGTCAATTTTTGAACTTTAAATGCTTATAAAAAAAAATTGTGACTAAGGATTTTAATATTTTTCATCTGCCTTTGAAACAACATATTAGGAGCCTTCTATTAAATTTTCAAGCTTTCGCAACCAACAAATAAAATTTTATTGATATTTTTAGAAAAAAACTAAAAAAAAATGGAAAATGAAAATGTCCCTAAACAGTTCAAAATAAATCAAAATATTTTGAAAATGTTATCGTGTATAGAAAATGCAAATATAAACAACCAGTGAAAATTTCATGTATCTACGGTCATTTGTTTTAAAGTTACACCAAAAACCAAATTCGATTTTTTTGGAAAATCGATTTTGCGTAAAAATTCCCGTTTTCCCTTAATTTTTATGTTGTTTTTCCCGGCGCTTGTGAAAACTACTGGAAAATGTTTACTTTTGACCCCCCAAAGTCCCAACTAGATTCACTTTCCTATCAGAAAAGGTACTATTGAAGAAAATCGAAGCACCTTTACTGTCCCAAAACGTGATGACAGACACAAAAAAAAATATAAAAATATAAAAAAACACACATCATTGTAAAACCAATACATTCATCGCTCCGCTCAGAATCTAAAATGATTATAAACAATGATGATTATATACTTCCGATATTGTTTTGCTGTAAAAACTTCTATGAGGATACGTGTCCCCATATTACATTTGAAAGCCTATTAATACCGATAATTAAAATTGATCGATGAACAATCAAAAAAAAAAAACCACAACACTTATGGTAGTACCCTGCAGTAAATACAATAGCTTGAAATTATTCCATATACTAATTAGATTTTTCTTCTCTAAAAATAGATTTATTTTATAACAAAAAAACATATAAAATAATTTGAGACAAAAATCGTTATTTTTCGTTTAAATAACAAATGTATTATTCACCGGTAAAACTTTCACTTTCTGAATTTTATTTTATGGAGCTATAGCCAAAATTCGTCCTCTGTGATACTATATTACATTTACCTTGAGATAATAAGTTACTCATCAATAATATTATGTAGGATATTCCCTATAACTTTTCAACCTATTTGAGACATTTGTTCATACATTACGAACATAAATTGAATCAATGGAATATGTATGACCATTTTCTAATGTTGTATAAAAAAATCCATAAAATTGTTTTTTTCTAAATTATCATTCTAGTAACCGATCTCCTGTTTATTTATAAATATGCATGAATTTTAAACTAAAAAATCAAATTGTGATTTACTTATTAAATGTATTTACCTAATTGTTCATTTACAGGTCATACTTGCTTTATGGCTTGTGTCCATGACTATATTCGGCCCAGTTTTATGGGTTCGTCAAACAGAATCTGTGGAGTTGGGAGATGATCCAATTTTAATCGATGCTGTCCATAGATATGGTTTGGCTTGGTGTATAGAGGACTGGGGACACCCGCACGCAAAATCTACGTTATCTAAACACGTTTATGGTACATTTTATGTAATTACTTATTAGACTTATCTATAATATGCATCAAAAACAAAAATATAATTACCTACAAAAAATTTATAAAATATGTACAATTCAACTGTTTTAATTTCTATAAGCTACTATCATTATTTCTACAATACTTATTATTAATAAATATAGTATTATTGATATAATATTATTTGTTTTGTAATATTAAAAGTCGATAGCACGTTTATCAATTTGAACGTGTAATTAGTACTATATGTATAGATATATGCGGCACATTTAAAAAGTAAAAAGCGTAATAAAAGTAAAAATCCATTATAATTTACAGGTATTCTGTGTTTTGTTCTGGTGTATGCTACACCTGGATTTCTAGTTACTGGAGCCTACACATTGATGGGTCGGAGACTATGGGCAGTACGACCACCGTTTGATGACCAGCAGGGCATGATAAGTGTTCAACAGGTTAATAAATATATTATATAGGTAGGGACGGTAGGGTGTTTCATAACCATGAACGGAATTTAAATGAGTTTTTTTTCAGTTTTCATGACAGATATAGTTTTATTTTTGTTGTTACAACTCATTATATCCTTTCGATTCGACATTTTTAATGGTTTACGAGATTTGGTTTATTGTGTCAATTATGGTGCGTCTTAATGTTTAGCATCACATTTTAGTACTCAAAACGCATTATAAACACCGGTAAAGTGCCGTTCACGTTTGTCACCGCAGCCATGATGCACGTTTCACACTAATTAAATCGGAGTTTATAATATAAACTATATATATATATGTCTAAAAACATATATATAAATATATATGTATATAAAAACTTCTGTAATAAAGTTATCCCTAAATAGTTTTCGTCCGTGTTTATGAAACACCCTATATATATACATTACATATTATATTTAAAATGTATGTATTATGGCTTCAATTGTTTTTAATTATTACCTTGGTATATGTTTTGGCAGAAATGAAATTATTTATTGTGAAATTATTAATCTCAATTTATTATAAAACAAACAAGTTGCGTGTTATTTGGATGTTTACATTTTACAGTACACAATAATTGATTATTAATTATTAAAATAATTAATTTAACCTCGTTTTAATTCTGGCCATTTTTTAAACATCCAAAAATTTTATATTTTAATATAAAATACTTTCCTATATTTTCATAAAAAATTTCAAACAAACAAACTCGGTAAATAATAATATATAAAAACAATTTTATAGCATAAGTTTTTTAGTTATTGATAAAATAATAATCATATACCAATACCTACCTTTATAAAAATTACTTAATTTATAATATTTAGGTACTATTTATAAAAATTGTATTTTAATTTTCAGGTCAGAATGGTACGAGAGAGACGTAGGGTAGCAAGAATACTCTTTTTCTTAGCAGTTATATTTGCATTGTGTTGGTTACCATACAACTTATTAACACTTTTTTTAGATTTAGACATCACACTTGATAAATTTGGTCTAGATCAGGTATTTACGATTATTACACCAAACTATATTGTATTTATTCGTACAATATAGACAATTATATAACATCCATTTTTTTTTTTTTTTTTTTTAGGAGTATTTAATGAAGTGGTATCCATTTACACTTCTTTTAGGCCATGCTAATTCAGCAATCAACCCTTTGTTGTATTGTTTTATGACAAGGAATTTTCGAAGAACAATCAAGGGTTTTGTATGCAACACTGGAATTGCGAAGCCGAGAAGAAGAAATCGATGCAAAGTAAGTTGATAGTCTACGACTTCCAATGAAGAATGTTTAAGTCGTGTGTACTTACAATAGATATGAGATATACATTTATTTGATAGAGAAAATACAATATTTCCCCATATTAAAAATCAACATCACGTTTGATGGTCATAGATCATATTTCTTCAAATTTATATTGAACAATAAAATAGACTTAAAAAATATTAAAAAAATTTTATAATAATTTGGTATAATTATATGATGACCAGACGTACTCTTTAGCGTAGGACAATACTATTTTTTGATGCGTGTCCTAGTGTCGTTAATAATAGTGTGAAGTACATGAAAATGTACTCCTATTTTTTTTTAAATTATTGTGGACTCATACATGTTTATGGTTTTTATAATTTGGTTATTAATTTATATTTTATGATTCGACCTAAAACATTCTGATTGGTTGGTAGCATGGGTAGCATTGTTGACTGTTTTGTTTTATCAGTGATATTACTGAAGATAAAAATTCATAGAATAACAGTAAACAAAGATAAACGGTAAATGTATACACTATACAGATTTTTTATACAATGAATCCACAAAATAGAAAATGTGTATTTAATTCAAATCTACAGAATGAGTTTAATTTTATAAAACCTACCTCAATATCTCCTCATATTGTGTACTGTGAAGTATGTAAAAATTATTATGTGATAATTTTTTATTATGTTTAAATTATAAAATACCATCATAAAGGACTCGTTATTTATTTTTTAAATTTAAATGTTATGTTTTTGGAGTAAAAATGTAGGAAACATATTAATAAAGTTTTTTATTTATTTAATTAAACTTTACACTTGGTATTTTTACCTTTAAAAAATAATTGCTTTATTTTAAGTTTACTTTACATTACTTATATTTCAAAGTATTTTCATCATAATAGCTAAATGATTTGACATTATAATTTCAAATAATTGGTTTTTATAGTTGATAATAATAATAAAAAAAAGAGTAATCAGATGAATAAAAAATAATTTTTATAGAAGGGGATATGCAGTATGCACCATGGCTATGACATGAGTAAAACAGGTAGAATAGGAATAGAAAGAGGAGAAAAAGTACTGTTTTTAAATTTCTATATCCGGTCACCATGATATTTATTATAATGTACAATATTTCAATATTCTATATCGGGGTCCGCAACCTTTTTGATGCTGTCAAGTGTCAAAAAATTAATAAACTTCAACAATTATTCACATGCCACAATTTTAATACACTTTATTTTATTTTAAACAAAAATGTTTAATTATATACAATTTAGATTATTTAAGTTAATAACTGAATAAACCCCTGGGTATATTAATTTAATAACGTATGAACCAACAAACAACGTTTTAATACTCCATTTTCAGCTCATACTATCTTAGTTCGTGGTTTTCATACAGTATAATGTCTATATTTTCATACAATTAACTATACATTTTACTCGTGGGCCACATAAAATTGCTACAAGGGCCGCCTGCGGTTAAAGGTCAAACACACTGCACACATTATTACATATCTAATTTCAATGTATAATGTAAGTACAATTTTCCTGATAATATGAAATGTGATATTTTGACGGTTTGGTATATCTTTTTTAGCACGTTAAAATTGAATTATTTACAAAAAATCATTTCAATCCGTTAGTTATTTATTTCCTACAGATATGTTCTATGTATCTTAATAGTTGGATAAAATTTCATACAAATGCATTTACTAACATGGAAACAATGATACATACGAATAATTAATTAATAATACGTTACGATGGATTAATTTAAATTTAAATAAAATATAAAGACAATGGATAGAGAGGTACATAACAATATTTAAATATTTACAAGAAGTTCAAATCCAAAAAATATGTTTAATAAACTTGCTGTATACCGTATATTATTTTATTGTCCAAGCATTATGAAATGTAAAGAAAATATTTATACCTCAAAACACTCGACATTTATAGAAGCACGTAATAAACAATTTGATAAATAAATTATAAGTCTCGATTTTCATTAATCGGTTTCAGAAAGGGCTGACCGAGAAAAGCACAACAAGTGGATACGGCTCGTTCCGCAACCCACGTCGGCTGTGTTTCACCCTGGCCCAACTACGCCAAAACAATACAGTCCAAACACGAACTGCAACGATATCAAACCTTGCTGTTCTGTAAATGAAAAAGAGTTCATTTTGTAATATTATATTGTATTGATTTGCTTGAATTCATTTTTATATTATATAATTAATGTATTATAATGTATATAAAGCTTGATGTATGTTCATACTCAAAAAAAACTAAACGTAAATATTATTATGTTTTTTATTATTATTATTATAACTTAATATTGTCGTCTTTTTACAAATATCTAACTATTTTTTTTTTAATTTATTGATATAAATATAATATAATAATATTACTGTACACACTCAATATTGCTTCTTCGTAGACACTTTCTCGATGGAATATTAAGTAATAGGTATAGTAATATAATAAGTATTATGTACTTTTTAAACTATTACATCGCATATACAATATTATATATATAGTATTATGTACTCAGTGTTACCTATATATTATGATATCAATAAATAATAATACAAAATAAATAAAAAAATTATAAACACCAGACAGGGTACTGAGATCGGGTATTACGGATTACCTCTATAGAGGTACCTACTATTCTCGAACTGTAGCTTCGCTCACTTCATAACCAGATGATATGGATATAAATATATTTTAGAACGAATTTTAATAAATGTTGTACATCCAAGTAACGATTCTTTAAGTGGTGACGACTTACCAACCGTGTATTGAAATTCCAAGTATACACCTAAACTTACAAATTCTATAAAAAAAAAAAATAAAAAAAATATTATCATAATAAAATATTTCGGCTGTTAATAATAGACACTCGTATTGATCTTGATAATATTATTTAGTATTTATCCATAGGTTATGAGTTGCAATAATTATTGTCGAGCTTTATTAACATTTTGTAGAAAGCTAAAAAGAACATATTTAAGTTGATCGATACCTTTTTAAAAGTATACTTTAACTTGTATACAATAACTTTTAGAATTTAGGTTTTGTCGTTATCCCTTGCATAATATTATTATAATGTCATACTTCAGAGTGGTCTAGTGGGCGTTCTTAAAATTATATGCGAAATTCTATACAAATATTTTTTTTCCATACAACCTTTATAATGTAATTTACAATAACCATAATATGAGCAGATAAAAACATTGATAGAAATATTAAGTTTTTAGAAACTGTAATGAATCCATCGATGTTTCGTAGCTTTATTTCACGTATGTGTCGGGCGATGTGGCCTAGCTAGAGTCTGTCAAGTAGATCCTCAAACAAAATATAAGTATACCCAGCGACTAACACGGTGAAAAAATTGGGTAAAAAAAATTCATAAAACAATATTTCTCCACCTGATCATTGTCAATATTATACTATTAATAAATTGACCTGCAATTTGTTTTATTATTCGCAATCGACAATGGTGTAGAATATCATGTTTTCAAAGACTTAACAAACTTCTATTGACGCTTTATCTGTACACAATACCTAATTGAACAATAGTATTTATAGTCCAGATTCGTACTGTTGTCTGTAGTTGATATTTTATTACATTATTAACAATAATTATTATTTTGATTTCTTAAACCTGAATACCTGTTAGATTACGTCATAGGTGTGCGCACAGAAACCCGAATCAGCTAGAATTTATTTTTTTGAGCAGCCAGTCTTTAAATATTGAATTATGGGACTCGGTAAATTTTAACTAGATAAAATAATATTTCCAAAAATTAAGGACAACGAACATTATAGTTCAAAACAATATATATATTTTTTTTTTCGTTATCAATTTTAGATAAAAATGATTACTTATATAATTATACATATTTTATAATACAAATTCTATCTATTTATCGGAATTAATATAATTTTAAACTGTAATTATTGTCGTCAACACATCTAGAAATAAATTGGAATTTTTTACGATATCGTCTGAAGTAGTTATATAATTGCACAGTACGTCATGGTATCGCTGTCACAAAACAAACTCATTATGAATGCTGCTATTGCCTATTACCGTCCAACATCCTAAAAAAATATTGTAATCAATTTGCGCAACAAGCTACATGAGATTTTTCTCCTCTCCACTCATTACAAATTTTTAAAAAAATGTTTGGTATATATTTAGCGTGACTTGGCGGGTCAGTAATGGAATATTTTGCTTGGCACCCGATCAGTAATGTCATTTATGGACCAGACAAGCTATACAGTTGCATATTTAAAAATACAATATATTAATTTGATTTTTATAACTTTTTTTAATTGGTTGGCCTGAAAAATGGATAAAATCCAGATAGGTTTTGTGGCATACATAATAATATACGTCGGTATTAAAAAAAAATTTACATCAGTACGACCCGATCATGTTTATTATAATTAAACATTTTATGGGAGGGGCTGTAGAATCGTTTCATCAAAATGTTGGACTTTTATGGCGTTTTTTTCACCCAAAAATTAGCATATTTAAAACAGTAATTTTTTTAAACAGACTTATTTCAACCACGTACACCGAAAGCCTTATTTTATAAAACTCAAATCACAGATATCATGAGAGAACAACAGTTCAAAATAATCACCAGGTGGTCTCTGAAGTGGTCTCTGAAGGGACCTCAAATAGGTTCATCATCAGACTTGAACACTATCAGACCTATCGAGCACCTTCAGGTACCATAGGCGCAATTTGGGTTAAATGTACGGGGATGCAAGATTTAGGTCGACATAAGTGATCAGTAGGGGTCTTTGCCCCTCACCCCCCTCCATTCATATACCTTAATTGTATACACCTTCGCATTAATGTTAATATAAAGAAGTACCAGCTATAACTGCTATAACATAATAAATTTTATTATTTTGATAGATACCTATTTATTATTCTTATTATGAAAATGATAAGGTATTAGAAATAAATGTATCCAAATACGTATGGCAAAATATAAGTCAGTAAAAAATAAAAAATCGAAGATGCTATCCATAATTTGGGGGGGGCTAAGCACCCTCAAGCACCCAGAAATTGAGACTATGTCAGGTACCCAGCACGTCTTGTTATTGAAAAAAAAAACACTAGAAAATATTTGAGCATTTCAATAAATAGTTATTAAATTATTTCTGATTTCAATTTTTTCGTCAACAAGCAACTTCTTCTCATCAGCTCATGACTGTTCAGACGAACAGTATGAGTTACATCATTCACAAAAGTGCTTTTTTTACAAGTCCATAACGTTTATAAAAAAAACAAATTCGTGCTTTAAAATTTCGTAGTAAAAATTAACTGCGATACTATAATATTATAACAGTTAATTTTCATATTTGATGAATTAATGTTATCACTAGAATTCTCGTACGGCTACATTACATTTTTAATAGCTTAGATAATATACGCAATTCGTATGAAAATCGTTATAGATCGATGAACAACAGATTAATTTCGACGAATATATTATGAATAGTTTTACTCGGTAAACGTACAAGATATGGCGTTTACGTAATTCACATTTATATATACTTACGACATAATATAATATAGTATAATGAATAATGATAAGCAACAGAATAATATATTTTAAATTTTGAAAGGTTCTTACACGGTATGGTATATTGCAGGCACTGGTAGCGGATGGTATAATAAGAAATTATTACTGTCTATATATACTGAAAAGTGAATCCCGACCACGACTTCCTAGCGAGAAGCGGTTGGGCGGGGACTGCAATCCTAAATTTCATAATAATAATAATGCTAACATAGTACATACAATTATTTTAATTTGTATTATCGAGCAGCATCGGCAGACATGAATAAAAATTACAATATCCATTTTAAATATTATTATATTATGTCGACCGCCATTTGGAAACGTTTCAGCGAATACATCTCCTGGTCCATTTAATAATTATGCGATGGAAAATTACCATAACTCGTCCTTCGAAATGATACCGCGGCTATGATATTACTATAATATGTTTTTTAAAAACAACATTATCAACGTCCGAGCACCATAGTATTAAATTTAATCGATATCTGTCTATATTTTATTGCAATTCATTACTGCATGAAAGATACGCACATTTTACGTCACGCGCACATGCAGGGACAGAACAGGAAGGGGCCCTCCAGATATATTATTTCTCCATTATTTTTTTATAATTCATAAGATCTGATATTACTGCATTTGTTATTTAATATAATATAATAAATAATTTATTTATTACATTCAGATTATGATATACATATACTATAATGCTGTTAAAACAATATTTTAAATTATGAATACATTTAATATTGTAATTTATAGTATTTGTGTTGTAAAAAATTGTTTCCCCCCCCCCAGATCCACGCCTGCTTACATGAATAATAGGTACAATATGATATTTTATTATACAATAAACGATGCAATTGATGTGGAAGTTTATACTATCGTAGTCCCTCCTCAGTTGTGATACCAAATGAAAAAAAAACGGCATTATGATTGGCATTCAGTCGTACATATAAGATAACATTACATAAGATGTATCCAGAACGTGAATAGGTTTATTTGTATGTACATAGGTGGTGCGGATTTATAATGTGTTCAATAACTTTTAAGTCGATTTTCGTGGATGATTTTTAATTCTATTAATGATTAAATATATAATAATACGGTATAAAGGTGTATAATAAAAACCTGAAATTAAGAATAATGTCGGAAGCAAAAAATTGTGAAAAAATATCACTATTGCTTGGATACCCGGATAAAAGGGCATGGACAATATCGAAGGAAACTAAAGATATAAACTGGCAAAAGATAGGTACCGAAATAAACTACGGCAAAGAAATTAAATTAAATTAAAACTTTGCACGTACGAAGACGTCGTAAATGATAATATTATATTAATATACGAGCTCGTAAAAGATATAGTTTTGTGAGTAGGGAAAAAAACCAAACTCAGAGAAGTAAAATGCGGAAGACCGAACGTTAGAAAAAACACAATTTTAATAGTATAGATGATATCTTCCTAATGCATCTAAGAATAGGGCATACCAAATACAAACACGGCATTTCCGTTTGCTAAAAAAATAAGACTCATTGCATTTAGCATGTGGCGTATAA